AAACACATCACTTTCTCTGGACCCACTCGTCTGTAAAAAATATTGCAGCGAAATCTCAAAAACATTTCAGCAATTTCCACAAAATCACCATGTTCGACGGTAGGGTGTCTTCCACAGTTATTGACTGAAATAGAAAAAACAAAAAGGTTTCTGGTGGGTTGAGATATCAACTGGAACATGTAACGTAAAAGGAGAAATGAATGTAATTATTTACTTGTTGTGATTTGAGTTTGAATCTCGCTCCCATTTGATCCAGAGATGGTAGAAGGTCCTACAAGAGACAGTGAACACACCAGTTATTAGTTATGAGGTAGATATCATACCGCCATGTTGTTTTTATGCATTTCTTCCAGAATGTCTCAACTTTTTTCCCATGATTCTTTGTAAAATTTGAAAGTTGCATGTTCTTTCTTGGTAGAGGAAATTTAATTCTGTGAGTGACATTAACATTTAAAATATTATGGTCTTCATTCATATCCAATATGAAACCTCAAAATCTCCCTCCACCCACCCAAGATGCAGTGTTCCTCCCACCTGTTCCCCCCACTGCACATGCACCATGTACAATGCCTGGTCATGTTCTTCTGCCTGAGAACGAAGCTCATTCCTTGGTCTTTGGCCAAACCTCTGTGGTGGATAATCACTGTTGTCAATTACTTGAACCTGCATTAATTGATGGTTTGAAAACTTGGAGGCAACAGAATAAACTGTGAACACAACACTGACATATTATCACCTTAAAAAGTTCATATGGTGAATTAGCTACCAAACTGTTGCCTATTTACACATCTAGTAGTTACGTTGCAAAATAAGCTTTCATTTGGATTCATTTGGACCTTATGAAGCCTAATATTCATTCTTCTTTTAGGTCCTTTAGTTTTTGTTATCTACCTCTTTAGCAGCTAAATACAAAGGTTTGGTGCTGGGCAGGGATTGCATGGCATGTTTAGCAGAGCCTTTCCTCTGTCAGACAGATGTGTGAGAGCAATGAGAGTGAACCAGGGCAGTTGATGGTACTTTGTGGAGTTTTAACCACTGGCTGCACTATAGACACTCACATGCACACTGGTGATGTGATACACATTCCTGCGAATGGTTTCACATTATTTCACAGATGCTGGGAATGCACCAAGAAACACACCAAAATGCTAACAAAGGCAATGATGATGAAAACGCTTAGCAAGTAAACATGTTCGTAAACAATATAGCTTTCAAAATTTTAAGAAAAATGGGTTTTGCCAATGTTTTATGAGGACAGAAATACATTCATCACATTTGATAGATCTCAATGATACACACAATGCATTTTAGTGAGTAATACTGTCAGGTTATAATTCTTTATGGGGTTCTCACTATGAATGATACCTTTCACAAATCATTTATGTAGAAATGGTGATTACATCAGCTTTAAAAATAAAAGAAAGAATTAACCTTGTGACCGTATCTCATAAAATGTTAATTTATTAGACTACTTTGAATTTGTTTTCCCATGCGACCTGTTACTAATATAAATATTTATAACATCCACTTCAAGAGCAATTCATAAAATGTATTTTCATCCCTGCATATCTCAGCACATACTACACTTACTGCACATAGGACCTTCAGTCCAGTTCCCAGCTATGCAAAAGATGGATTTGCTGCTGGATGCTTCCTCTGTAGCGTATCCATCTTCACATTTATACTGCACTTCTGAATCTGCAGGAAAAACCTCCTGGTATCTCTGATGAATTATTACAGCATGAGGGACTTTAGGGGGCCGGCCGCATGCAGTGATACTTTCTGTAAATAAGAAAAGTAATCAATAATTAAAAATGCTCATGTGACCAGAGATGACCCCAAAGCATTTAAATTGGTATTATTCCTACTATTGTGATTTTTCTACAAACAAACAGTAAACAATTGACAGACTTACTCTCACAAATGGACAAAGACGACCATTCTCCACTTATACATCTGGTTGTAGCGATCTGGTGTCTGTGTTCATATCCTTGTTCACATCTTATC